CAGAGGGTGAGGCTAACTTAAGAGTTTAAGATGTTTTAGTGTATTGAAGATAGATTAAACCAAATGCTGAAAGCGAAACAAGTCAAAGCCATCGAATATCATGTGTGCTTGTACAAAAAGAACAAGATAAAATAAGTAGGAGGGTAATGAAAATTGTGGTGTAATTGATTACGAGTACGCCGGGAGATATTAAAAATGGAAAGATAGATTTCTAAACAGAAACGATAGAAAGTGTGAGTGAAAATATAGCGGGATAATATGCTGATTCAAGAGTAAAAGCATGAGTTAGAAATAACATTCAAATCAATTTATGGAATATTTTAAGGGCTGGAGTGACTAAAATGAGAGATTCGTTGTAATGACCACATGATTTCAAACTCAAAGCACAGGGCACGCATTATGAAGCGAGGAAATGGAAGGAGAACAATCAGGCTTTGCCAAGTTCCAAGAACAGAAACCATGACTCTCTCTGTATATATCTACATTTCCACTGCCGGGTACTATTTTGCATGATTGCCGCATTAATGAGCATATTAGTGATTTATTCCTACTCCTAATTTCCGTGTGAGATTCTAAGTCATAGGCAGTCGTTTTTTTTCTAATTAAAGCGCCCTTCTACATTTTCCTTCGCTTCGTGAATGCCTTCGAGGGCGAGCCTGTCGCGAGAGACGTTATTGCCATAGAAGAAAAGGTCTGAAAGTGAGCGGTTTGCACACTTTATGAGGATTTTTGTTAAGGTGAAAAGATAGAAAGGGGGCTCTGGTCGTAATAGTCCGCTGTGTTTTGTATTGTGACAACAGAAGCTCTTTTCCTTTGGCTGCACGTTTATCTTCGATGGACTCAAACTTGTTTCCTGAACACCTCATACTATTTTCAAACCCCACAAAAATTTAACGTTCCTGTCTATTCTTGCTCCTCTTTAAGTCTTTTCCCGCCAATGTACCTCTTTTATTTGTAAATCGCCTTATTATGTCTTTGTAGAGATTAGATATAGGCTGTATAAACACAGTTATCATTAATATCATTATTCCAATACAACTACCTTGAAATCAATATGAAGAGGAAAATCTTATAATTGGAGTAACATACCCATGCATCTACCTATTCTACTAAGAATTACACTTGTGCTTTGATCACCGAGTACTTTCAACTTGACCCTGCGTGTTATACTTAACATTACAATAAGTGTTCTTTGCTTATCGTGTACTACATTGTCCCCCCCCCCCCTTC